CCGCACGCCACGTAATTCTTACACTTATTTGAAAAAGGGTAAAGCGAAACTATGTTTCTTTTCTGGAGATATACCAACCATGAAAATATTTGCACTTATTTAAGACTCACCTTGTATATTATGATATACAGAAAACCTCATACACTCTTACAAAAGAAAACAATAAATTGTCGCTATGCTATAAAAAGTACTCAAGTATAATTATATATTTCTTGTTTTCTGAGAAAAAGACCCTTGAATTGAAGAATTTTATTTATTATCATAAAATAAAAAGTATTCCTATTTTTTATATTTTTAATCATTCTCTGGAGAACACTACGTAAGTTGCTATTCATAATAATGGTAATCGATTAAATGAATTTACTGTATGTTTACTGAGGTCGATGCACATTATCATATACGAATCGTATTTGGGTAGTAAGTTTTTGATCCTGAAAAATATAATTTAGTGATTTTATTAGTAACTAATTCTCATTGTCAAATACGCACCGTATCAGACACGTTATATTTTCGTTTAGTATATTAGGTAACGTAGAGTTTCGGTAACAACATTTTGTTGATTGCTTTTTTTTTGTTCGGATGGTTTCATTTAACATTGGATGTATTGCAAATCCATCTAATCAATTTTGTCTTGCTTCTACTTTATCCAGTAGAAGTGTAATTGACAGGCATTTTACTACGAAAATGATAAAACATTTCTTCACTGAAGCAAACGAAAATGCTTCATATATGTTTAGGTGAATCCACAGTCCGGTTGCTTGAATGGAATCCCTTTATCTCTTCAACGATACCACCACTGAAGGTCGCAACTTAGATCAAAATAAAAACATATCAAAAGCGTTACCTTCATGTTTTTACCTTATATTTTTTATGTATAATTTTGCTCTATTTTTTTCGACTCTCGACTTTTTATATGGCGATTACATACTCGCTATACGCTGATGGGTTGTGCGGCGCGGCGGTTAGATGAAATATTTTTTTTGTGCGAGCCATCAAATGAAATATCACAAAGACAATGGACAAGTTTATAAACAAAGTAACAAATCTATCGACCAACCGTGTCGACGCATCGACGTACGATATCCTTAGCAATATTTGCGCATTCCGCTTTACCTATTTCAAAATAAAAACGCTAATTCACCACAATACCAAACCAAAAACACTGGACGGGCTTTAACGTGGACTCACTCTTAACTCTAACAGATGCCCTTAGCATCTAGCTAGTTTATTAAACACTAAAACTAGTTTTTTCTCTTTCGATTATCTGCTGATGATGCAAGGTTAGTGAAATGCGCGTCCAGTGTTAAAGAAAATTGTTTTTGATATATTGTGGTTAATTAGTGTTTTTATTTTGCCGTTGTCACCCCACAGGCTCCAACCCCTAACAGTACGCTTTCTTCATCATCATTATTTTCAGCTTATTCAAGCATTTCCAATTATGGTGCAGCCTTCCTCACTTACTTTCTTCGTAGCTGGGCCCATTGTTCTCTATTGTTGGCTATGCGGGCGCAAGCTATCTCTGTTAAATTCCTATTCTATCCAGGCTAATTATTATTCAGTGTCCTTGGAGAAGGGAACACTGTAAGGTTGTTCGGTCTCCTTAACAGTTATTCAAAGCATGGAAGCCTCCGAAATTTTGGCTTGAAATATTCCAGACAAAAAAAGTAAAAGCACTAGTAAATGTTAATGGGTTATCTTTGCAAGACAATAGAAATTTGAGAAACCTGATAATCAAGTATCAAAAGGTGTTTGATACAGGAGAAGCATACCAATCATAAGTATTTGCTATGTATAAGGTCGTACCAATTTAGTACAACATAAAATTGATACCGGAGATGCACGGCCAATCAAACAAAATCCGAGAAGACTTCCACTCGCCAAACGTGAAGAAACTGACAAAATCCTTCGGGAAATAAAAGAAGAGGATTTAGTACTAGTAAAGAAGACGGACGGTACCACCGTCTGAGTTGATTATCGGCTGCTTAATATTGTTATCAAGAAGGATATCTATCCCGTACCGAGGATAGACGATACTCTAGACATGCTGGCTGCTTCTCTGCCCCGATCTGAGGCAGAGAATATTCTGCCTCAGATCTGAAGTGGATATTGGCAAATCGACATGGTGCCGAAAGACAAGACAGCGTTCTCGGTTGGCTCCGGGCTGTGGCAATTTACCGTCATGCCTTTTGAATTGTACAACGCGCCAGCTACCTTTCAAAGACTCTGGTCCGTCTTGAAGGGACTATCCTGGACTACCTGTTTAGAGTACCTGAATGGCATTATAGTGGTTGGGAAATCCAAAAATCATGAATCTGCAGAATTTGGAAGAAGTTTTCAAGCGACGGACGAGCGAGCTCTGGTTTGAAACTTAGCCCCAAGAAATGCCATCTGTGTCAAGAAAAGGCACACTACATGGGCCATGTATTCCCTTCCCAGGGGATTGCGGTAGATCCATAAAAGACCAAGACAGTGGAAGAGTGGCCGATACCCACAGATAAACATTAACTACGAAGCTTTTTGGAACTATGCACATACTATCGCCGATATGTACAGGGTTTCGTCACCATCGCTAAACCATCGACGTGATCTAACCTAACCTAACCATCGCTAAACCATTGACTAGACAGATGAAGAGAGGCGTTTCTCTTGGGCTGAGACTGTGACGAGGCATTCCAAAGTTTGAAGAAGGCCCTGATTAGTCCGCCCATACTTAGCTACCCTCTTGGCAAAGGAAACTTTATATTGGATACCGACGCTAGTAATGTTGGATTAGGCGCTGTTCTGTCTCAGATCCAGGATAGTCAAGAAAAAGTTATTGGATATTTTAGTAAGACATTGTCAAAACCAGAAAGAAACTACTGTGTGACCAGACGAAAATTACTAGTAATAGTTAAAGCAGTGGAACACTTCTACAAATATGTTTATGGAAGAAAGTTCTTGTAAACAACAGACCATGCTGCTTTGAAATGGCTGTGTTGCAGTTTAAAAATCCTGAAGGACAAGTAGTTAGATGGATTGAACGATTACAAGAATTTGACTTCGGTACATAACATCGAGTTGGGGCAATCCAACGAAATGCTGACGCACTTTCCAGAAGACCTTGCGCTAAGGACTGTAAGCATTGTTCGAACAGAAGATAAAGAAGCGAGACTCCTAAGAACAACTGTGGTTAATGATACTTGGCAACCCGAAGATCTTGCAAAGGACCAAACCAGTGATCCAGAATTATGCTTAGTGATTAACCGGAAAAACGCGGACCGAAGACCACGTGTGAGGAAGTTTGCAGATATTCGCCAGACGTGAAGTCGTATTGGGCCTAGTGGAATTTTCTAGTAGTAGATAACGGATTACTTCGCCGTGTGATCATGAGATCAGTGGGACGAAAAGAGCGGAAGCAGATTGTCATTTCGAAGAAGAGGGTCCCGGAAGCCTTGGGGGAAATTCACAATGGAACCAGCGCAGCGATGGGCATCTTGGTGTTACAGAGACACTTAAAAAGCTGAGAGAACGGTTTTATTGGGTGAACTGTAAAGAAGATGTGAGGGTCTGGTGCAAGAAATGTGACGTTTCCGATGCCATAATGCAGTAAATAGGCTGAGGCCTACGAGTTGCCAAATCAAGAAGTATCCGCCATTGGTGATGTCCTTGTTAAAGAATGGATCTGAAGGTTTGGTATTCTCATGGAGGTTCATTCAGATCAGGGAAGAACCTTCTAGTCCAATCTGTTCCAAGGCGTTTGCGAAGCCCTTGACATCCGCAAGACCAGGACGACTGCCCTACATCTACAATCCGATGGGATGGTTTAACGCATGAACAGAACCATCAACCGTTATCTGGCCAAAGCAGTCTCTGACCATTAAAGAGGTTGGGACAACCAATATTTCTTCACCTGTTCCTGTTGGCCTACCATTTATCCGTCCAATAATCCACAGGGTAAACTCCAGCCAACATAGTTATGGGATGGGAAGTCCGCCTACCCTGTGATCTGAAGTTTGGTTGCCGACCGGGAGACGATGTCGCTGGAGAAGATTATATCCACAGACTATCGGGATCAATCAGCAAGCCCGCCTAAATATTCAAAGCGCTAGTGATCGGATGAAGGAGCACTACGACATTCAAGCTGAATATGGAGGATATAAACCAGGAAATTTAATGTGGCTATACAATCTGCAGAGACGTCGTGGATTATCTCCGAATCTATAATCATCGTGGGAAGTTATGGATAGGATTAATAACGTCGTATACCGAATCAGAAAATTGCCAAAAAGAAAACCGAGGATAGTCCATTTCAATCGTTTGAGCCAAGGCAAAATAGAAGATCGTGCTTGGACCGTGAGAACCTGCAGCTTTGATCCCCCTGATTCGGAGATGTTCTTTGACGACTTTATGACCCGATATAAGAACAGTGAGAATGTTGGTATAATAACAGCGGCTCGTTATGGTGCGACCAAAGAAGAACAACGGGACCTTTTTTCCGTACCTCCTGAAAATTCGCTCGCTCACGGTGTGTCCCGATTTGCAAATGTCCAGAGGAATATCCGCGACGTTCAATGAAAAGTTTGAGCGTGTCGGAGAACTACGCCGACAGGATACAGAGGTTGGAAGCGTCTTGAGGAATAGAAGAGCGTGGAATAGAAAACACTGAAATGGCGGAGAAAATACAAGACTGTTTAACTTGTTAACAGGTAAAAAATACCGAGGCCGAGTAAGTAAGAGTACAGACGATTACGACGAGTTACGGCCGACGCGTATCTTGCCGCGCTAAATAAATTCAAAATAAATTTCGTTAGATAAATAAGTTTGATAGTTTTTAAGTGTATCTTGTTTTTTTAATTAGTATAAAATAAATTGTTATAAATAAATTATCCTTTTTGCCCACACGGAACCGAGCAAAAACTTAAAAATATTTTTATTTTAAAGATTGTTTTTCTTTTAATTCTAGATAACAATGCGATAAGCATTTAATTTAAGTAGCGTTTTAAAAAGTTAGTTTTAAGATAAGATTTTAGTATTTATATTGAACTGATTGTATTTATATATTTATATATAATATAACAATATTGATTAATATTTATTTGTCGATCTGGTGTGACTTGATCATATATTTTTAAAATGAAACTTTTATGCTTATTTTTAGCTGCTGCTACAGTTGGTAAGTAAAATATTTTTTAATAAATAATATTTCATATTTTTATTAAAGTTTTGTTTAGTTCAATTTGCATGATTTTAAACTGATATATTTGGATAAAAATCGAGATAAATACTTTAAAAATAAAAAATAATTTTGTTATTAATACAGTACTTTTTTGCTGCAAAAAGGAAAAACGTTTCTTCCAATCACGTAAACTGACACCCACCCCTCGCGTTCTGTTGGTAATCGTCTGTCAAATTTATTTGTCTTAAGAAACAGACTAACCCAAAATCGTCTGGCTTTAGAATAATTATTACCCTCTCATCGAATTTCGACTAGATGGAACATTTGATCAATACTAGATCCGTTATCTGAAAAGATGGAAGTTTGATAGAGGTTGACTAACAGTTGATCTGTAATCACTTACAATATGTCAAAAGTCAGAACAAGACAAGTGTCTCAATTTCAGAATGCAGTTACTCAAAGTACAACCTGCATAACTCTATGTAAACTCAATAACTTGCGGATGCTCGGCACTTAAATCGTGTTCTTTTGCTAGATTATTGGTTACTTATTTTTTAGGTCATAGCGGAAACTCTTGACGGTATGGTGCGCGTTTGTGATGTGTTTGTGTAGCAAAACAAGCAACATAACTATATATTATACCTAAATAATGATAAAACTAAAACTGAAATCTACCAATTGTCGACATATTGCAGAAGTTAATTATATGTATTTTTTAATTTTTACCTAACAACAGGTATTCAATTTATACAGGATTAACATTTTTTTTTGCTTTTTAGTACAAGCAAGAGATATTCATTTACAACAAGTCGTGGGAGGAGTGAGTGGATCAGGGACGACCACTAGATATTGGGATTGTTGCAAACCATCTTGTGCATGGAAAGAAAATGTGGAAACTGCATCGCCAGTGGCATCGTGTGCTGCCGATGGAGTGACAACTGTTGACCCTTCCACAAGATCAGGGTGTGATTCTGGTAAGAAAATTACTTTTAATAAATAGACACGATATCCTGTATACTTTTGCTCAACTAATCCTGATTTCTTCAACTTTTGACTATGACTGCAAATTTATTTATATATATTATAAAAAATACTAAGATATATTATGAAAAACTTGGTAACATATAACTAGGTATTGATTATAACTGTTTCCTATATTAACAAGATATTATTTGGAAAGATAGCTTCTTGGTATATTTTATTATACAGAGTCTTAAATAAGTGCAAATATTTTCAGGGCTGGCAGATCTGGATAAAAGAAACATATTTTCTTTTTAGTCTTTTTCAAATTTTTCAAAAAACTTTAAATATTTTACTGTGAGAATTTCCAAAATAAAATTATTTTTTGCTTAAATTTTTAGAACCACTTGATCTTTTCTGCATTTTCTTCCTTGTAAATTTAATCTGCACTTATGTTGCCATATTATCAAGAAATTTTGCATATAATCAACAAATTTTGAAACCATTTTTAAACAATTTTTTTCGCGTGGTCAAGAAGATATATTAAAAATATTATTTATATCAACTATTTCATTACCAGCAACATACAGTCATATGTGATTCTGTAAATTTCATAGTGCAATACATTTATGACTAGGAAATCAGGAAACGGATTTATTCATCTTATTTTTAGAATATGATAGAAATAATCAAATAGATAGATCAAACTGAAGTGTATATTAAGATTAACAAGGTGTAAATAATGTTTTTGAGAGAAGAGAAGTACATTTCTCAACATAATTATCGGCCCGATATTATATAAATGTACTTGCTCAAGTACAATCAAGAACGAGTGCATTCTTGAGAACAATGTTTTCAACTGATTTATATTTACAAGTGTAAAAATAACATCTGATTTGTATCTAAGTAGGAAACGATATTAATTACAAATTTTGACATGTTAATTTATTAAACATATAACTGATAATTCAAATAGTAGTAAAAATATAGTTTCTATATATTTAAATAAAGATAACCTTATGTTGTTTTACAGGATAAAGAAATATGTTTTAGAAATATTCAATATACAGTGTGCTACAAATTCGAGGTACCCAATTAAATTGGGACAAAGTAACCTCCGGGATGTTCACCAAGATGCCACCAAAAAAGTTTTTAAAATTTCAAGGATTGCTGAGTTTTTTGGAAAAAACGAATTTTTTTGAAAATTAATTTTATTTTTTCCTGTCGTTAACAAAGGTTGTGATGTGTCGTTATAGAAAATCAAAATACTAATTGCACCTTCTCATAGCCACTTTATTAGGGCTATCTGGTAGTATTTTTAGATTTTCAAATTAACCGATAATTTGTGAGATATAGAGGCCATCTTAATCTTTTTAAATACGGACCTTCATTTTTTATTTCAGATTTTGAAAGAACTCGGTCTCCTGAGTACAATGATATGGCACACTTGCTTGTTTTTTTTTGTTTTTGATACCTTGGCAACAACAAAACTATTTAATTATTATTTAAAATAATTTCAAGTCCAACTCTGTCTTTTTAAATTATTTAATCTGATCATATTCATAGCTACAATATTGATCAGCGCTAATTAACATCGAAGAAGGAAAATGAAGCCAATTGAAAGATTCAAATAAATAATATAAAGGTCAGCAATTGAAAAATATTATTTCTATCTTTTTTTATTGTGAACTTTAAATCTCAGTATACGATCTAATAATATGTATAATATTAATCGTAGTTATTATAAAGAAATCAACTTCCACAAACCAGTTTCTAATGGTCTACATATTTAAAAGGGTTACCACCCTCCATAATACAAAAAAATTATTTTTCGTTCAATCTTATTTATAGCTCTTTGAACAGATCTTCTTATACTTCCGAATGCATTTTGTACTCTTTATTGTAAATTTTGAAATATATACGTACTTTTGCAAATAATGACGTCAAGTAATAGCCTCTCGCCCCTTGGCGACAGGGGGCTATTTTAAATATTATTTTATCGTATATGATTTTCCGTATTCAATGTTTTACCCCACGTCATTGTTAAGTTTGAAAGGTTATCAATATTGTATCGATGAATAGTTTAAATAAATTGAGTTCAAATGTCCAAAACAAAAAAAAGTATCAAGCGTGGCATACCATTGTACTCATGTACTCAGAAGACCGAGCTCTTTCAAAACCTGAAATAAAACATGCATTTCCGTATTTAAAAAAATTAAGTTCGCTTTAGTATCTCAGAAACTATCAGCTAATTTGAAAATCTAAAAATACCATCATATAGCTCGAATAAAGTGGCTATGAGAATGTACAGTGTGTCCCATTTTGGTTGAAATCATAGGGTATCTCCGTTATTAGTGAAGATAGAAGGGTGCGGTTTGCACAAACCTGTCCCACTTTTTCGTCAAACGGAAGATGCTGCATACAAAATTTTCATAGCCCTCTTCATTTCTGAGCTACAGGGTCTTTTCAAAAATTTTGCAATTTGGGACACCCCTGTATCTCTGTTATTGTTAAAGGTATCGAGAAGGCGAAAACTGCTTATTGTAGAACTTTTTACGTAGAATACAGTGGCGTAGTCTGTTTTTCTACCAAAAAAATATTTTGAAAATATGAACTAAAGTTATGTTTTTCAAATGGAACATCCTGTATATTTATAAATCATATGATCTGTCTTGCTACGAGCTTCTCAAAATATATTACTCTATATTTATTTTCACTATTTACTGCAATATTTAAAATATATAATTTTCTTATTAGTAGGCCGTGATAAATAACAAAAATCAAAATGGTATTTACTAAATAGTCATACACATATTAAAATTTATTTGGGATTGATATATTTTACTTTTGAAATAACTGTTACCACTGAAACTGTGAATATATTTTTCTTTTTTTTATAACGGGATGGGTTTGCAAATATCTAAATCTTGAATTATTAAAGCATTTTTCAGGTGTTCGACATTGTTGTAGTGCCCACGATATATTTCGTATTTCAAAAATCCCCAAAATCAGAAATCGAGAACGGCGAAATCCGGGAATCGAGGAGGCTATCAATATGCGTTCATTGGTTCCAATTCATTGATTTGAAAAATAATAATTTAACAGTATTCTAATATTTCCATAGTTATGAGGGGGAATGTTCCCCATCTTGCTGAAAGTATATTTCACGTAAATTAGCTAAAGGAATATCTAAAATTTCCGATACGATAGATTATTCTTACGTATACACGTATTCCAAGATTTACAAATAGCGGTAGAGAGTTAAGTTTCCCTAATATATAAAGAATTTATTAGCGGCTCCCAAAATAAAACAAGAGACAGATAGCAGTATACTTTTAATAATTCTTTAGTTTCTTTTATTATCAATCATGGCCTACTAATAAATATGATCTTTTAATAAAAACTTTTAAATATTGCAGTAAATAGTGAAAATAAATATAGAGTGATATATATTTTTGAGAAGCTTATGGCAAGACAGATCATATGATTTATAAATATACAGGGTGTTCCATTTAAAAAAACATAACTTTAGTTCATATTTTCAAAAATATTTTTTTGGTAGAAAAACAGACTACGCCACTGTATTCTACGTAAAAAGTTCTACAATAAACAGTTTTCACCTTCTCGATAGCTTTAACAATAACAGAGATACAGGAGGTGTCCCAAATTGCAAAATTTTCAAAAAGACCCTGTAGCTCGGAAACGAAGAAGGCTATGAAAATTTTGTTTACGGCATCTTCCGTTTGACAAAAAAGTGAGACAGGTTTGTGCAAACCGCACCCTTCTATCTTCACTAATAACGGAGATACCGTATGATTTCAACCAAAATGGGACACCCTGTACAATCAGTTTTTTTATCTTTTAAAAAGTAACGACAGGAAAAAATATAATTGATTTTCAATTTTTTTTTCCATAAAACTTAGGAATCCTTGAAATTTTTAAAACTTTTTTGATTGCATCTTGCTGAACATCCTAAAGGGCAACTTTGCCCCAATTTAGCTATGTTCGTATATATTACGGTTACCGAGATACCAATGCTCGCACCTCGAACTTGTAGCACCCTGTATAGAACATGCCATACATATATAAAAAATGATTGATTATGATGGTCGACCATAAATTGATATGTAAAATTATATGGTGTATGTCACAAATCGTCGGTCGTTTCTAAGCCAAATCTGATTTTTTTTCATACTGTACTTGTTTAAAGTATAAAAAATTAATTGGTAACTAGTTTTCTTATACAAGAACATTACAAATTCAAAATATCTTTTGATACTCGACATCTGCTAAATGAGTAAATAGAACTAATACTTAGGAAATAGTACGAGTGTTTTTATTCACATACTTTCAGCGTATTTTAACACAAGTCTCTGAAGAAAACAATTTTCTTCTCTTTTGATTTATGATAAATAATTTGTATTTGCCTACATTTTGTAGTAAACATTATGGTCATTATATCGCAATTTGTATATTATAAAACATTATGGTTTAATATTATAGATGGATCATCATATACATGCAATAATCAACAACCATGGGTTGTAAACAGTACCTTTGCTTTTGGTTTTGCTGCTGCATCATTTACCGGAGGTGCTGACAACAGCCAATGTTGTATATGTGTGCAGTTATCATTTTTGAGTACTATTACCGAAAAGACATTGGTCGTTCAAGTAACAAATACAGGAGCAGATTTAGGCAGCAACCATTTTGATATTCAACTTCCTGGAGGTAGGTCGACATTTTCAGAAGTCCACGCTTTACGGCATATGGATAACTTTGGATTTAAATTGACTGATAAATATAAAAAAATAATTATGGCTAACGCGGTTATTTAACCACATAATTGTCAAGTGCCATATAAAAAATGCTTATTATTAGTGATTTCAAACCCATTCGACAAAATAATAATTCACGAATTCTCACAAGATTGTGTTACTTGGAAATGCACATTTAAATTTCAATATGATATGCAGTTATTAATAATTCTAAAAATTGATCGGTAACAACTCTCAATGTTTTTTGTATCACATCGATCTAAATAGTATTTTAAGCAAAAATAAACTATCAAGAAATTCCTATACCCTTAAGGTGCGTTCAGACTTGAGCATTTTAGCCCGAACGGACAAAACGAATCGAACACGCAGACCGGAAATCGCTTTGTCTGGACCTGTCCCCGATCCGAACAGAACGCGCCTAAGTCTGGATGTACTTTTATTTTTTAATTTCCAGTTTTGCACTAGTGTACAGTTAAGTAAACATTTTTCTCATTTGTTCATTTTGTAAATTGTAAACAGATAGCATTTTATGACTTGGCAAATATATTTACTATAGAGAGACTAAGTGCTGTTTTACATGGAGCGGACCATCCGCGTTTTTTTTTTCAAGGTTTTCGGACTGCTTTTACATGTGCTATTAAATCCGTCGCGGGTAGACATGTATTTACAGAACAGGCAAGCCGTTATTGCCATTGCTTTAATAATTCGACGAAGAAGAGAAAAACCTATGATATGTAACAAAAGACCTATTTTTTAGTTAGTTAGTATTACTAAAACCTATTAACTATTATAAAGATAATATTCTGTTTAAAAGTTATAATATTCTGTAACTTTAAAGCTATGCGTTTACGCACCCATATTTATAGGAACTTTTTTTCATATTTTTTGATCAGGAATCACTTAGTACTTATTTAACACTTTGTTCAGTTAATGACATTAAAATATTTTATTGCTATTTAACTGGTTGCTATTAGACTTGGATTAAGGCAAATTAATAAAATTGCATCAAGGAGAACACAATCTTCAATCTCTTCAAGCTTTCAATCGACAAAATATCAAGATACAATTTTTAATCGCCATCAAACGGCAACTTGTTTACCAAGAAGAAAGACAATCAGTGGCGCACATATTTTTCTTAGAAAATATTCCTGTGATAATCCATAGGCACGTGACCAGGGACGTGCATATTCTGGCGAATATGTCAACACTTTTATAGTATTAAAATATGTTGCACTTATAATAACTTTTACCCATACAATAATATTATATATACACAATAATATTATATATACAATAATATTATATATACAATAATATTACATATATTTTTTGTATAAAAGAAAAATTTCTACCAACATATTATCTTCCTTTTTGACATTAGCCTGATTAGCCCATTTAGAAAGTCTATAAAGTTACTTTGAGATATATTTTTTTTCTATATGTCATTGAATCAAAGGAAAGAAATAGTATAAAAATTAAACATTTTGATTCATTTAGTACAGGAGAGTAAAATAAAATAATTAGTGCATTAAAAAATATTATTGGATTCACATTGTCTTGTGCCATTCAATCAAAGAAAAAATTCTAATCTATTTTTAACTACATTATCAAATTCAAATTTTCTCTATTTTTCCAAATTTTGCACCATTTTTCACGAATTTTTTGGCACAAGCATTTTTAGTTTTAATGGCCGTTAAACGTGAACTCTATAAAAACAACTTTTTAACGCTTATTAGTGACAATAAAACATACAAATTCAAAAAAGAATAATAATGTTAATTTAAAAAATTATAAAATGTATTCATTATTATCAAAATCCGATACTATAGCAGCTGCAACATATCCATATATTTCAATTTTAAGATCTTGCATTTTATATTCGTCAAGAGACATCCTATATATTTTTTGATTTTCCACAGCGTATATCAATAATTCTGTTTCAATTTTAAGATACTCATTGGATTTTCAGCTGCAAAGACGCTCATCGAAATAAATTGCAACGCAGCACTTCGTCTGCCGCGGATGGTCCGCGTGTATGTTATGGTGCGTCTAGACTTGAGCACGCACGAGCTGAGTGTGCGCGCACGGCATTTGTTCGCGCTCTCGGCTCCGTTCAAATTAAAAACTTATTTTTCGACGAATGAAGTGATCCATTTGTGCGCGCACAGCAGAGTTGTGTTGGCGAAAATAATGGACGACCAAAAAATAATCGAGGTTGCAGTAATTGTTATGCACAGCTTAATTATTATAAAGGAGAAAAATCGAAAACATCGTAGCTGGTGGCAAACCCGAATTTTTTGAAATCGATGTAATTTACTGCATCAACTTAGTGTCTGAGGAGGGCTATGATCACTTCAAAAACTTTACAAGAATAACCAGACCCGACTTTGAATATTTACAAAATTTAATAACACCAAAAATTACGAACAAAATATACAAATTTTAGAATAGCAATTTCATTAACATCGACATATTCAATATTAATTTTATTTACAAGATCTTGCCATTCGTTTTTTTTTTTTGATTTTTTAATAATACAAAGAATGTTTAACATCCCATAATATAGCCAACTTTTCATATTCTTCAATTAATAATAACGAAGATTCATTGATCCACTCCATAATTGTAATAGAGAAAACGAAAGAAAAATCATACACGCACGTACGAACGCAGACAAAACAAATTGCCGGTACAAACTGAGCGTTCGCGCACATATAAAATCCCTTTGAGCACGGACCAAAAACCGACACCAGACGGTTCACGTTCGCGGCTGCTCGCACACAGACAGATTCAGAGTGAGCGTGCGCGCACAGCCGTTTACACTTGAGCATTCGCGGAGGATCAGAGCTTGCGTGCTCAAGTCTAAATGCACCATTAAATTGCGTATTTAAACAGATAGAAGGTACGCGCGCGGACGCTCCGTCGAGGCAAGTGCTCCATGTGAAAATGTTCATAATATAAACTCATGGTACCTACTTGCTCAAACTCGCGGACGGTCTCGGGTAGACATGTATTTGCATAACAGGCAAACCGTTGTGGCCATTGCTAATAATTCTACGAAGAATTCAGCGGCCCTGCTTGTTTTGCTTAAATTTTAAGGGAAATTAATAAAAACATTTTTAAGCAAAATATTTTGCATATTTAATAAATTATTAATAAAGAAAAGTAGGGAATGCTTTTTGTCTACCAGCTTTACACTATTTTTTCCGATTAAAATTATCAAAATCCGGTATTGCGTAGCTGCTGCAACGTCTCCATAATATGATTTATTTTTAATATCTCGGTTTTTATATTCGTCGCAGGAGACATGCCATATACCTATTTCTTATTCGATGTTCCACAGCGTATATGAATAATTCTGTTTCAATTTTAAAGGTACTCATTGGTTTTACAGCTGCAAAGACGCTTATCGAAATAAATTGCAACGCAGCACTTCGTCCGCAACGGATGGTCCGCCTGTATGTCAATTAGCGTATTTAAACAGATGCAGAACGCCCGTACGCGCGCGAGTATTCGACGGATGGCCGTCGGACGAAATCATCCGGACGGAGCATAGGCGTCCCTTGTGAAATTGTTTATTTAAACTCATGGTACTTACTCCAATATGACACATAATGACAGCAATGATGTGAAACAGAACTAAGACATCGTTTTCAGATTTAGCCTGTTTTTGTGAAAGAAGAAGCGTTTCAATACTTTTTTTATTCGATCGATAAAAAATATGTGTCTGAAATGTAATTATTGTTGATAAAAAGTTAGGTAAACTGCAGTATATTTTAGGTGGGATACAAATGACTAACCAAACAAATATTTTGTAAAATATAATGGAAATTTTAGTTTATTTGTTGGTATTATTATGCAAAAATAACTTGACCTCTAAATGCAAAGAAACAATATCCAATTTTAAGTTAAATAGAAATATGATCATCATCATATATAGTATGATCAAATAAAAACGGCGTCAATGAAGACTATGAAATGAAGATCGCTGTCATTTTATATGTAAAATTATATGGGAAATACCATCAATCAATTTCATAGTCATCGCTGACGCCGTTTATATTCGATCATACGGTATTAAGAAAGAGATCATAAATTATTCCAGAGGAATAAGACATTAACTGGAGGTATACCTACAATATTCCGATATAATAATATATTTAAATAATAAAATTATATATGGATTCTTGCCACTTAACTGCTAATATAGAAATTTAATTCTACGCTGTGTTTGTCATAATGCGGATCAACCTGCTCTCACTACCGGTTTCGGAGCCCTACTCCATCATCAGGTGATTGGGAGATCCACAAAATGACAACCACAGCGCAGAGATAGTTAATTCCGGCTTGTCGGAAAGTATCGGTTAGATATTAAGTCCCGAACGGGAGATAGCGGCCTGCGTGCAATGGTAGTACTTTCGTACCACCGAGGCGCAACTATCGATAGTAAAAGGATGGTAAAGGCTTTTTTTCAGGCAAGCCAAATTATAAAATAGAAAACAAATTTCTTGCAGTAGAGGTATATAATAAAATTATATAAGGATTCTTGCCACTTAATTGCTAATATAGAAATTTAATTCTACGCTGTGTTTGTCATAATGCGGATCAACCTGCTCTCACTACCGATTTTGGAGCCCTACTCCATCATCAGGTGAGCTTGAGAGATCCACAAAATGACAACTACAGCGCAGAGATAGTTAATTCCGACTTGTCGGAAAGTATCGGTTAGATATTAAGTCCCGAACGGGAGATAGCGGCCTGCGTGCAATGGTAGTACTTTCGTACCGCCGGTAAAAGCCTTTTACCATCCTTTTACTATCGCTAGTTGCGCCTCGGTGGTACGAAAGTATTACCATTGCACGCAGGCCGCTATCTCCCGTTCGGGACTTAATATCTAACCGATACTTTCCGACAAGTCGGAATTAACTATCTCTGTGCTGTGGTTGTCATTTTGTGGATCTCCCAAGCTCACCTGACGATGGAGTAGGGTTCCGAAATCGGTAGTGAGAGCAGGTTGATCCTTATTATGACAAACACAGCGTAGAATTAAATTTCTATATTAGCAGTTAAGTGGCAAGAATCCTTATATAATTTTATTATATACCTCTACTGCAAGAAATTTGTTTTCTATCTAATATATTTAAAAGACTACCCCAATTTTGCGTATAAAAACATATAACTAAAATATATCGGTAAATTATATCCATTTAATCATTAAAATAATTTCATAGTTTTTAATCCTCACTTGTATTTATAGGTGGTGTTGGATATTTCACAACCGGTTGTTCCAGTCAGTGGAACTGTCCCGCAAATGGTTGGGGTTCTCAATATGGAGGAATTACCTCAGATTCTGAATGCAGCGAATTACCGGAAGTTTTACAGCCTGGATGTCATTTCCGTTTCAACTGGTTCCAAAATGCCGACAATCCCAATGTAAATTTCCAACAAGTTGTTTGTCCTTCAGAATTGACCAGTATTACCGGATGTGCTTAGATAGTTTAAATGTAATGAAACAAGTTTCTATTTTGAAGTAATAAAATATTTAAAGCAAATTAAGTTTTTTGTTATCCAAAAATAAATATAATTATACTATATGCTGAGTAAATACGCTTTATAGTAATTATTAAAAACAATTAAAAAATAATATATATATATATATATATATATATATATATATATATATATATATATATATATATATATATATATATATATATATATATATATATATATATATATATATATATATATATATATATATATATATATATATATATATATATATATATATATCGCTAATAAAAATAAAATAGCTGATGTATTTATTAATTAACGAAATTACAAACATACCACTAAAACAACTAAACCGAAAAACTCGAAACCAATTTCACAATAATTAATTGGTTTGGTACGCGTAATATATACAGGGTTTTCCAGAACATGTGCCCTCTCTCGTCGAGAGATTCACTATGTAAAAATATGATTTATTTTTTATATCAGCATAGGTTCTGATTCTAATTTGTTTTGTAGCTATAGGGCGTTAAAGCTTTCATTTGTTTTTAGATTTATTATAATTTTCTTAAAAGTGCTTTGAGCGATTCAAATGAAATTTTGAAGGAAAAAGTTGCTATAAGTGCAACATATTTTAGTATTAAAAAAGTTCCGACAGATTTACCAGAGACCTGCATATGGGTTGGGTTGATTTGGCTAGAGAAATATTAAAAAAATATGTTCGTCGCTGCTGTACATGAACGACCATGTTAGGAATAGTGACACAGCATCAGCAACTATTTTTGACAAGTGTATTCAATTTTTTTATGATTTTATCATTTATGATTAGCTTATCAAACCTAACCAAAACGAAACTTAATTCAAGTACTGACACGATGTTTTCCATTCAGATTTATAGAACATTTTGCGGAAAGTTTACGTTTTCGTAAAATACGTTACGTTTTTAGTGCGAATTATAAAGTAAACAAAAAATCATAAACAGTAACCGAAAAGTACCACTGTACTGGCGCTATTGAATTTCGTGTAAATTTAAAATTTTGAAGGAAAGTCAAACAGGACTTGCAAAATATTGTATTAGTGGCTATTGGCTATATAGAACTATTTATCTCGCGTTTGATATTTGAGTATAAAATTACTATTCAGCTCATTTTTGGGTTTTTCTATTCAATGGGCCTAAACAGTTTGTTAAATAATTTTCATTGATTTAAGTATTGCTGCTAATAATTCTCTCTCTATAATTAACCACTATACCTATTATTCATCATCATCATCGACATTGTTGTAAGTGTCTGAAATTGTAAGTATGTTATTTGTGTGTGTTGTTTTTCGAAATCAGGTTATTGTTTGTTTTCTATTTCTATTGTTAGTCCACCACCAGACCACTGACTTCGTTTATTAGTCGTCGTCACAATGCGTGGTCTCTATTCAACAGTTCTTTGTCCATCTATCTCCTCTTTGTCTCATTACTCATCAGAGCTATGTTACGTACCAAATTCCATTTAAATGTATATATATATATATATATATATATATATATATATATATATATATATATATATATATATATATATATATATATATACGCTTAATAATATATAATATATAATATATTATATATAATATATTATATATATATATATATATATAAATAATATATTATATATAATATATACGCTTAATAATGTCCATCACCACACAAATATTATTTTATTTTCACTCGTTTTTTTTACAAACCAAGCCTAACACGCCATATTTTTGCTGAAAATTTCGAGAATAATTGGAGAGGTACCAGTCGTTGGCCATCGAAGCTGCCGGACTCATTGCCTATGGATTTTTATCATTAATGTAGACTACAGGACCTTTTTTTTAAATGGCCAGTATACTCTAGACAATAATAATTAAAAGTATTTAGCGGTTATGCGAGGGTATCTCTCATCCCTACTGAGTTAATAAATTTTCCGAGAAATCTTCAGAAACGCTCCCGTCTGTGCGTAAGAAAAGACGGTCGACATTTCGAAAACCTCCTGTAGCAAAATCTCTTGACTTGTTTAGCTATTTATTGTTATTGTTGTTAGGTATAGTTTAAATGTGTGTTGTTGTTAAATATAGTTTAAATTGTTATCAAATTCTGAATTTTTTCATTATAAATATTAGTTTCGTTTAAATTGCTGCTGATGGAGTTTGCTTTTTTTAGATTGCCGGGTTTTGGGATATTGTCTGATCCCTCATTCGGAGGCCTTGGGCCCATTGTAATATCCCTGTATTATTATACGAGTATACCAAACCTTCCTCTTACAGGAATTGTTAAAGCACTTTGCAAAGTTCCCGTAGAAATATTGAAAATATAAAGAGATGTTAGTATAGTATAGTTTATTCCGTTTGCAAAAATACATATTTTATAAAATCAGCTTACCATTGCAATTTCTGAGCCTGTCCTGCGATGATTGGTAACTGATTCTTCGGTTATTTATGCTCTCCAAAGGAAATGGAGAAGCCTGCCTGTGAAGTGGAACTGGTGATCTGGGAGACACCAGGTTAGGTGTAGGTGTTGGAAATGGAATAGGAGTAGTGACATCTGTTGTCGTCGCTTCTTCTGTATCATCAGATCGATAATTCCGTTCAATATCATCTAAAAAGAAAAAAACAGCTGCTATTTAACAAAATAGATCTAATATATAGCTTTGATTGAAGAAATAAAAAGATGGATAATTTCGTGGCACAAAACTTCTCCGAGATGTAGCTGGCGATACCGTTGCCGCTAGTCAACCTGTTTGAGATTTAGTTTAGCTCAACGCCACTGCGCGCTGATAATCGTTTACAGCGCAGCGGATAAAGAATACTGCATCGTAGTTTTTTTTATGATTTTAGTCGACATTATTTATAAAAGATGCGAATACCAACTAGACGAAACTCAATTTGGATTTCGCAGTGGCCTAGGTACTGGTGAGGCGTTATTCGGATTAAACGTTATCACTCAGCGTTGCAGAGACATGAATGTCAATGTAATCGCTTGTTTTATAGATTATAGAAAAGCCTTTGTCTGCGTTAACCATCAAAAACTTATAGAAGTCCTCAAAACAACCGGAATAGATAGAGAAGAAATTCGATTGATTACAAATCTCTACTGGCAGCAAAACGCAGTGGTTAATATTGAAGGGACATCGTCAGAAGAAATCACGATTAAACGAGGTGTAAGACAGGGCTGTGTGCTGTCACCGCTCTTATTTAATATATATTCAGAGGCTATCTTCAAAGAAGCTCTAGAAGGAATCGAATGTGGAATTAGAATTAACGGGAAAGTGATCAATAATATCAGGTATGCTGACGATACAGTTGTGCTGGCCGAGAATGAACAAGATTTGCAGAGGCTAATGAATGAATTAGTTCGGCATAGTGAAAACTGCGGTCTCCTCATAAATACCACAAAAACGAAGGTTCTTGCATTCACCAAAACACCTGTGCAGATTCACCTGGATATCAACGGTGACCCAGTAGAGAAAGTGTTTTCATAAAAGTATTTGGGGTGTATTGTAAATGATCAATGCGACCCGAAGAAAGAAATTAGAAGCCGCATAGAACAGGCTAGAAAAAACATTTATAAATATGAGACAATTTTTCACAAGGTCAGATTTGAGTTTGGAGCTACGGGTACGCATGGTCAGATGCTACATTTTTTCAGTTCTCCTGTACGGGTGTGAGAGTTGGACTCTTGACATATCGTTAGAAAAAAAACTAGATGCCTTCGAAATGCATATTTACCGCCGTATATTAAGAATATCATGTGTCCAAAGAGTTTCAAATGTGGAGGTTCTTAATCGAATGAGAAAACAGAAAGAACTCATGCTTACCATCAAAGAAAGAAAAACACGCTACATAGGCCACATAATGAGGGGTAAAAAGGATAAACTTCTCAGTTTAATAACAGAAGGCAAAGTCCAGGGCAAAATATCTATCGGCAGACGCCAGAATTCCTGGCTAAAGGACATTCGTAGATGGTTTGGTTGCTCATCAATCGACATATTTCGTATGGCTGTATCTAGAATGACGTTAGCTATTTGGATCGCCAACCTTCGAAAGGAGACGGCGTTGTAAGAAGAAGTCGACATAGTGGTTTGGTTAGTAATCCGCAATCGCAAATCCTTTAGTAGACGCCGGAGACAGTGTTGCAAGAACTACGGATTAATCCGAAGATTTACGAATTTTGGGTACAGTAGGTTAATAATACGGATTTTCTATCATTAAACAATTTAATATAAGATTATATGATTAAACAAAGTACGGTATCAGAGTTGGCTTGGAAATGAAGATCGCTATTATTTAATTTGTAAAATGTTATGGTGAATGTCGATAGTCGTCATTTCCAAGCCAACTAAAGGACTTTTTTCGATCATAAGGAATATATTCAGTACCTAAAATTTTTGTTGTTTTTTCTATTTTTAACACGAATAAATTTTCAATACATAAACGCTGATTTTGAAAATTTTTGAGTGCCACTGTTCACTCTCCGGAAATTCATTTACCGTGCATAGAAAGAATCTCGGAGAGAATGCAATGTTGCCACTTTCTACCATACCAACGTCATTGTCTTAAGCATAAGCACAGTCACAATTACAATTTAAATATGCGATTATACAACATAGTCGCATTCATAACATAGAATGTAAATACTGTTGATAAAGTAACCTAATTTTCGTATTTTTCTATTTCATCATTTTAGAGTGTATTTTTGTTTAAATTTTATTACTCAGGTTTTTTAAACACGAAAATTATCATAATAATTAAACATTAAAATAAAAAATAAATAAATAATGCCCCTAACCGATTTTTGTTGTAATCACAATCAAAAAAGTTAAAATTTACGATTTTCAAGGTTATTAAATTATGCTTATGATTAAGACTGCGATTTATAAACGGTCGTATCTAAAATAATGGTTTTAACTTTTATGATTGTGACTAAAATTGTGATCATAATCACAATTTTAGTCACGTATTTAAGATTATGTTGTATAAACCTGTCATAAGTTTCTATAGAAAAATACGA